GAATTATTGGCGCACGGAAATGGCCAAGGCTCGTATAATAGCCTCTGGCCATCTTAAGTTTTTTAAATATATATCTAGTTTCTATACCAATGTAAGATGAAGTTGGTAGAAATAAATTGCAAGTTCTCTAGTCCAGAATATTAAGTGTTAAGCTTTCTATAGTTAACAAAATATGCCCTTTAAATTACTACCAGCTAATTAAAGCCTTATATTAGCAAGAGTGAAATGTTTGGAAGGTATACTAATAATTATACTCGCTGATTACTATACTAGTAAATGCAAATGTTCTGGTGATTATTACGGCATAACAATATAAACCAATGATATTAATTAAGCCTGCAAAAGTGGCATCATGCAGAGGAGCAAGACTTTAGAGCAGACATGGAATCAAACATTAGACATCCGAAATTAAATGTTACAGAAATTACCTGAAGACCAGCATGACCATCATCTACTGCATTAATAGCAGATTTCAGAACTCTTATGCTGGTTGGGCTGTTTCTTAGGATTTCCCTGCACCATTTCACTGTCTCCAGCTCCAGATTTTCAAGCTGCAGCATAGACAACTAAACAGTGTTGAGGTAGTGTTCTTATGTTTCCAATACTCAAAAAAATGTTAGGAATCAGCAGGTAATAAATGTTTTCTTCTCTATACTTTGTTCTGTTTGAAAAAAATGTAGAAAAAAAAAATTTCCTGGTAAAGATCTAAAAAAAATAGATACATTCGGTTTGATGAACAGAACTAGCAAACATGCAAGAAAATAAAGTTATGCACGATGAACATTTTGACAGGTAAGGCCAGATAAAACTATGAAATGATAAAAAAAAATGGAGTCATAAAAACTATGATTTTTGAAAAGCAAATATATATATATATACCTGAACTACAGCATTGATAAGTCCCATCTTTTCTGCTTCAAAAGCATTGTAAAAGCGTGACAAGAACCACATCTCTTTTGCTTTCTTAGGCCCTACCTGTTTCCATGTGCCCATGATCGAACAATATGTGAGATCAATTTATAAAGACAGACAAAAAGAAGTAGCCATTTCAGTAGATAAGCCCTACTATCAAAGAACATGAGTTAAGATTTAATGTTTATCATTCTTCCTAAAATAAATATTATTAGCATCATCCTAAAATAATTATTTTCCGCTTCTTTTTAAATTTCAAATGAAATTGATTTTATTTTTTATTTTTTTTGAAGTAATTTAATAGAAAATAATGTATTTATAGCTTTTTTGTTGCGGCAATTTAAATTTCCTCATATAAAAGGTTGCAGAATTGTTCTGGACGCCAAGTCAAATTAATGAGAATAATTATTGTTCCAATTTATCTTTAAACCTTAACAATTTAGCTTCATTTACCAGCGTGGCTCATCAGATTAAAGTTTTTGGTTTTTTCCTCTTCAAATTCTAGCAAATGCATAAGCTTTTTGTTTGAAATAGTACGCTTTTGAGCATTGAGTTTTTTTTAAAATTAATTTCCTCCACCATTTATAAATTAGATGAGAGCCTCTGCTGTTGATAATGTTGATTCTAAGGAACTGGTGTCCTCAAAAGTTGTTTACATGAACTTTAGGTTACAGTAGAACGCACGAATTTTTTTTTTTTACTTGGCGTCATTTGGGTTCCAAATTTCTCCCACTTATCTTCTGAAAATGAACTTTGAGTTATGTAAAAGAAAGTAAAGGAAAATTTACATACTTATTACTTAATTCTTATGTATTTACTATCTAACACCTGAACTTCAATTTTTACATGTATGCCACCTTATCTGTGCATGAAAAGGTATATTTCTATTTCAAGAAAAGGTATATTTTACTTTCTAAAAGTTAAAAAAATAAAATATTTTATGTGATAAAAAACATTTGGTGGTCTAAACATAAGAAGTAAAGTCTAGGTGTTAGATACGTAAATACATTGGATTTCGGTGGTATGGACGCAATGCCCCCAAAAAAATTAAATTAAATTAAACATTTTACACATTTATCATTGCAATAGTTTCACAAGCATAATAACTCACTTAATGAACAGATGTTATTTTTATTGGAGACTATAATAATTAATAAAAGCACAACCAAAGCATAGTTTCAAGATAATGGTATCAATTATTATCTAAATAATATAAAATATCTCCCCTCATGCATCACACTGACTAGAATCTAAGCTCACCAAGCGAGACATGATAGAAGACCCATAGCCTGCATCAAAACTCCCCACCTGCAAGCAAAAAATTTCGAACCGAAGTGGGGTTACATTGGCCTACTGTATCTGATCATTTAAGAAGCAAATAAACTAAATGCAAAAGCTTTGACATGTTTCCAGCATTTTCTAAACAAATGAAACTCAGAATCATTATCCTAAGAAATAAATAAATAACTAAATAATAATTACGGCCAGAATTAGATAGTTAAACTTATACTGCACTTGGAAGGAACCACATAACCAGCTCACTCTTTAATATAAAAATGAAAAATTAAAGTTTTATTCGAGCCAAAAAGTTTGAATCATATGTCTTGACCACCATTTTAGATTCCTCAGAACCTAAGCTACTAGATCGATTTGGCAAATATTCAATCTTAATTGATACCTAGATTAATTCCCAAAGGATTCCGATTTTAGTTTAAATTTCATTAATAACTGAAAACAACCTTTAAAATCACTCAAATCATGTACCCATTAAAATATGCAAACAAAATACACACAATAGGCTAATCCACAAGTCACACCTTAGCAAATAAGGATAAGGGCAAAATATTTACTCTCGCACAACAATTAGGCATACTAACTAGCGTCAATTAAATAAGTAAACATAAAATGCATGAATTATGAATGCCACTAGTTTTAATAATGTTGAAGAAGAAAGTTCCATTCAAAAACCATGAATTAGAAATTAGAAGATGTTTATCTTTGCTTTCACCATATTAATAGCTGGTCAAAATCTTTCCTACCCACTAAATTTTGATTAGTGACATGGAAGATTAAAAATGTATACTATTCATCTTAATCTAAACGATTGGAATTAGAATGAAATAAAATTTTGTAATTACCTAACTAGGCATCAATACGGATAAAAAATAATTAACTACAATTCTAAGAAGTTTGCTAAAAAATCAGACCATATTTTATTCATTATTACTTTTCACTTGTATAACATTTTAGTAATCAACAAATCTTGTAGTTAACTATTTTGGTCATTCAAAATCAAAATAGTCAGAACCTGCTGGATCAACAACCGAATGCTTCTGAAATCAAATGAAATCTGGTCTTCAACAAGTTTCAGCACAACAACAACAAACTTTTATCCCACAAAGTGGGGTCGGCTACATGAATCCTTTTTCTCCATTCCGTCCTATTGAGTCCATATTTTCATTTAATTCAATTTCATTTAATTCAAATAAATTAATATCATTTTTTATACAATATCCCCTTCAACAAGTTTCAATATTGGAGATTAAAGTTAACAAAAGTTATCAGCTTTCAACCTCAACGTTCGAAATAAATTGGAAGAAAAACGAACGGGAAAATCTCCTGCCCATAACAATTTAAGAAAAACCCTACTCTATTCAAATTTTACCAGGTTAGCAATCAAGTCAATGCATGCACACATTTTATATAATGCATATAGATAAAGCAAAAGAAAATTTTAATAAAGTCATGACATCTTTGTATATTTCCTTATAGAATTGTATCAGAACAAATTTATTACTTCACACACACACACAGAGAAAGGTGCAATGTTGCTCTAACATAAAAACCTTTCCAAATAATCTTAAAGCAAACAAAGTTTAACAGATGGACACAATCTATACCTTCCTCCAATAATAAGAACATTATATGCAGCCTTGTAAGCTCACGTGAGTGCCTTCTGAGGTGATTCTAGTGTTTTTCTTAGAAAACTGTCTAGACAAAAATTTAAATTTCAAAAGAAACCTAGAAAGAACTTCATAATAATATCGGCAAACCTATGGATAGCAATACTCATACAAAGCATAATTAAAATTCTACAAATATCTACTATTCAAAAAAAATAAAACAAGGAAGCAAAATAGGTAATCAAGACGTCCAAGAAAAAAAAAACCTTGGGTCCAGTCTGACCAAAAATGGCATTTTCAGCTGCGATTGTTAAATCACAAACCATATGCAATACATTTCCACCACCAACAGCATAACCTGCGACCTAAGAAAGATACAATAGAAGACCCTATAAAACAATGATATGATTTACTTTGATGTAAAACGTATACCATAGCTATCACTGGCTTAGGGAGACGTCGGATTTGTACCTAGTCAGACAAAAAACAAAGGTCAAAAAATAAACCATACAAAATTAAGTAATAGGAGAATTTGTTTTTAAATTGAAAGATTCATATATAAAATATTTTAAGGCCCCTATAAAAGTCAGTAAAGGTCCTGCAAGCATAGCATGCACCTGTCTGTAAAAATTTAAGGGTGAATAAAATAGTGTGCTTTATGTTCCACACATTTTAACAATTTATCAAAAAAAAAAATAATCATCATCCTCGCCATAAGCTTTATCAACTATACAGTGTCCACAATGTTATGAGGAGCTTCAAAATCTAAATTAGTTTCTATGATACCAAACTAATCAACATGATAATAGTTTGTATCTGAAACTGTTAGGGGTGATGTAGCAATAAAATATCCTTTCGTTTTGCTTTTCAGCTTCAGGACTATTTCATTTCCGAAAAATTAAAATTTCATGCACTAACACACCAAAATGAAAAGTATAACGTAATTAATTTACTTCGACTATCTATGAAAATGATCCCCCTTGTGTTAAATTTCCTGTGTTTTGCTTTTCAGCTTCAGGACTATTTCATTTCCAAAAAATTAAAATTTCATGTACTAACACACCAAAATGAAAAGTATAACGGAATTAATTTACTTCGACTGTCTATGAAAATGATCCCCCTTGTGTTAAATTTCCTGGATTTTTGTAAAATCGAGAATAATGTAAAAGCCTTCCATTTGCCAGAGTCTGGGTCTTAAATTTGTATGAGAATTTAAATGTTAAATTTGCACATTATATAAGGCTTTTCTAAAATTAGGGGGGCAAGAGCCACATCCAATCTCTCCCTAATTCCACCGAAAATAGATCACAATAGAATTTTTCAATTAAGAAGATAATATATTAGCAATCTACCTGCAGATCCAAAACATTAAGCCGACCAAAATTTTCAAAATCAGTATATCCATCAGAGGTCCTCAAAGCCTGGTCACCACCGCTACAGAAAGCCTTGGTTCCCTACTGAAAGTAAAATCACTAATTAACACATTTTCTAACAAAACAAACAGAATAAAATGAAATTTTGAAATAAAAAACCATGCAATTAAAACACAATAGCATAACAAGAATTACTCGCCTTCCCTGTTAAAATGATAACTCCTATGGAGCTATCATCTCTCGCATCATTGAATGCGCTAGCAAGTTCTTTAATTGTATGCGGCCGGAAAGCGTTTCTTCTCTCTGGACGATTAATCGTGATCTGCACGCCCGAAATGGATGTTAATATAAAATTTGTATTAAGACTTTTATCTAATCAATAATGCGGCGCTTTACCTTCGCGATTCCCTCTCCCACGGCTTTCTCGTATAGAATGTCAGTGAACTTCCCCGACTCATCTAGTGCGGGTCTCCATACCGCTGCTTCGGCGGAGACCTCACCGTGGATGCGCCGGTAGCTGTCCTCCGCAGACGCAGGCGAGGAGCTAATCGAACGGCTTGCGGAAAAAGAATAAGTTACGGGGAGGAAGTGATTGTTGAGGTTTGCGATTCTTCTCTTCATGGTTTTGTCGAGCTCCTTCATTGAGTTGTCCTCCGCCATGAGATGAGAGCTCTGATACATAAAAGAGATGGAAATTGACGTTCCCGTGAGAGATTATAGCCGTCATCGCCTTGCCTGGTTAACGGATTGATAAGGGTAAGATATGCAGATAGGAGATCCCATTGCTAAAGCGCAGCTTGGCCAGAAGTTATCTGATCTTGATAAAATTTAAATTCAGAACTTCAATAATAATGTTTCGGATATTTCGGGGGTGTTTAGTGTACGATTTAAGTTAAGTAGGATTTTTGGATTTATTAAATTCAATTATAATTAAATCTCAAATAATATTTCATTCAATTAACACTAAATTCAATAACATTATATGAGATTTTTGGCGTCAATATATTTGAAATAGTTTTTCCTGGCTGAATCCGTTAAATCCAACTTGTAACTAGATTTTGTAAATTTGGATTTAATTAATGGACATTAAATCTCAAATAATATTTCATTCAATTAAAACTAAATTCAATTAAATTATATGAGATTTTTGGCATCAATATATTTGAACTAGTTTTTCCTGCGCTCAATCCGTTAAATCCAACTACTAACTAGATTTTGTAAATTTGGATTTAATTAATGGAACAAGCAAAAATTATATTTAACTTAACAATGAATTTATACAACTTTTTTATGGTGTTTGGCTGGATTTTAAGTTAAATATAACTTAAATCCTAATAAAAGTATCATACAAAATACTTCCTTATTTATTTATAATTTAAATTAGAGATATTTACAAACATACTACTCAATTTTCATATCTTAACATATCTAACAACTATTTTTTCTTATTTACATATACAGGACAATAGTGTCATAAACTTATGCATGAAAAAGCAATGTTTGGAAAACCGGATCAAACCAGTCGGTTCAATGGTTAGACCGTAAACTGGTCAGTACTCCAATGCGAGCAACAAATTAAACCGCTTCAGCATCAAACCATTTCAGATCACCTCAAACTACTAGTTAGATCAATGTACCCGCGATCTGGTTCCTAATTGCGAGAAATGGGAGAAATAAATCGAAATAATTAGGAGTCGATAACTGTTTCAATTTTCCAAACTGCTTTGATCTCCCTCCCAAACAATAGAAAGATATTATTAAAATCTTATTAAAGCTGACGTCGGGGGCCTACGCACCCAAAATAACTTTATGGATCATCTAGCCTGAGCCCCTGAGGGTCTAACACTTCATTAGGACATTTGGATCCGGCGCCTAGGCTCCCAAAACAAGCTAAAAACCACATTTTTTCCTGAGAGCATGATGCTTTGGCGCCACCTAGGTGGTGCCTAGGTCCCTAGAGGGTGGTGCCTAGGCACCTAAAGGGTGTTGCCTAGGCGTTGATATGGGCGCCTAGACACCTGGGTATGTGGCGCCTAGGCATCGATCACCTTCAAGGTCACGAAAATGACCATTTTGATGCAGTTTTGTGTTGTAAGCCTTGGGAGGGTAAAAAGTAGGTGGCCAATACCAACTTTGTTATCCTTAGAAGCATCCAATGGGCATATGCTAGGAGCAAAAGAGACATTTCCTTGGTTGAGAGAGTTTTAACCCAAGTTCGCTCTCATTTGATCGGGTTTTCTCCTCCCTGTTTTGCGATCAACTGGCTGACTCCCACTCCCTGCCCTTCTTCTTCTTCCTCGGCTAGGGTTTGAAGGGGAGCTTGTGAGGAGATCTTTTGGAAGACTTGGAGAGGCTTTTGGAGGTTCTTTAGAGAGAGTCTTGTGGGAAGAGAGCAAATGAGTTCATCTCCCTCATCCCCATCTTCTTATTCCTTCTTCTTCCTCTTATTCTTCATCTCCTCCATTTTTTGTGCATGTGGGGAAGTTTTCTTAAGGAGGAGCTCAGAGTGAGGCATCCACTCTCCTACACAAAAGGAGAGTTTCATCCTAGCTTGGGGAAAGGTTGTTGAAAGATCGCCAGAACATCGTCGGAGCTCCGTCGGAGTTTGTCGGAATGTGGGCCTCTTTCTATGTGAAGACATGCATCTGCAACCATCACGGTGGTGAGATTTCCTAATACCTTAGCCGACCATAAGGTTAATTCAGTCTAGGCGCGTAGGTTCGATCGCCCACATGAGGTGGATGTGTCAGCCAACATTTGTTGGTACGGTCATGCCGCTTATGTGATGGATGATTGATTTCCCTAGAGGAGGCCCTCAGTTAAGTGTCCCATGAGTTGGTCATTGCTATTCAGAGTAGAGTGATTCCCTCTTGTGGGTCTTAAGACTTAATCTCACTGGTTGGAATCCCAATTTCTCATGGTTTTGGCTCTCCCATCTTTCATTGGAGAGGTTGGTCGAGTTTGGTCTTGATGGATGGGAAAAACCTTTATAGCTAGCCCATTCTACGAGGTTGCAGGCATTCGTGGGACAGAAAAAACTTTATAGCTAGTCTGCCCTACAGACAGTAAAGAACTTCTTCTACAAGAAATCAGAGGAGGAAGCCCTCCACATTGTCACGCAAAAACCGATGGCATCTATGACGTACATCCAAGTGTTGAATGTGCCTACATGAGGTTTCTAGGATGAGTTTGATGAGCCCTTCAAACGCGTTGGGTTTTATTGTATGTGCACGTACCATCTTGTTGCATTTTTGCATATGGTCATTTGTCACATTCTTGCATGGTTCTGTGAGCACTTCGGGTCGATCGACAGCCCTAGGTCGATCCCTGGTCCTCTTTTGGGTTTGATTGGTCATCCCAGGTCGATCACCCTATATGTTGGGTTTAATCAACCGCTACATGTCAATCACCTATTTTGGATTCAATTGGTAGGGTTTAAACGACTACTACGTGTCGATAATCCAATTTGGGTTCGATCGGTCGTCCCAGACCGATCACTGTTGGGTTTAATCGATCTCTATGTGTCGATCGCCTACTTTAGGTTTGATAAGCCTAGGAGATCACTCATCTTGGGTTTGCTCGGTTGTCCCGTGTCGATCACCCTATCTTTTAGGTTCGATCGACCATCATGTGTTGATCACCCACTTTGGGTTTGATTGACCGTCCCATGTCAGTCACTCGATCATCCGGGTTTGATCGGTCATCCTGGGATCAATTATCCCAGATTGATCTACTCGCTTCTTTGGTCTGACCGGCCAACACTGCCAATTTGACTGACCACTTGCATGCTTATATGGTTTTGCATTGCATTGCATGGATGCCAGCTTGCATGTTGCACCATGCTCCATATGCATTTGCATTTGAACATGTGTTGGGGGTTCTCCCTATTGAGGATCACCACTCTCTTCTATCAGTGCTGATGCGGGTAGATTTAGTGTGAGAATTTTGCAAATATTTTTTGATATTACAAAATTACACACGACATATATATAATAAATATGCAATATAATCCTAACAAAAATACCTTTTATGTAAATAATTTATATTTTAAAACTTTTTTTAAATTATTAAATCCCCTTTAAAATCAACACAAGTATACGTATCGCTCAAGTAATAAAGAGCTCTAATGGAGTCCTAGATATTGATCTCACAGGGAAGTTGGAAAATCCTAAGAATAAATTCTTAAAATTATTTTATAACTAAAAATAAAAAAATAAAAGTAAAGTGTGAAGTTTGAAAATTAACTATTCAAGTGAATACTAATTAAAATGCAGATGTAAGACTACAAAAGTTAAACTAAACTAAATGTTGAACTTTCAAAAGTAAAATTACGAAAATTAAACAAAGTTTTTGTTGTGATGGAAAGTTAAAATTTACGAAAGCATCCTTCCCTTTTACAATGAGTATATGGATTGTGAAGAAATTAAAATTATTTAAAAATATATATATAAACTGTTTTGTGTCAAATAGGAGCAATCCTATTTCTTACCCTTTTCCGAGTGTTATAAAGAACAATGACTAATCCAGAGTTTGGTCCCATATCTGTGGTTAGGCTGGGAGAAGGCTGCCACTCCAGAGCTCCCACTACTCCCTCCCTTGAGGGCTAACAATCTTGCATCTGTTTCGGTTTATAATCAGCGTGACCAAATTGGAGATTTTAATGTGGCACCTTAAAATCTCTAATTCTGCATCGAACAAAGTATATTTCATTATTTATTTGTACCCAATCCCATGGATGACATACTCTCTCATGAAATCAAATGTGATTCACCCTATGTTATAGAAATCATATCCCATTTAAGAACATATGTCTCTCAATAAGTTTTAACATTTTATTTGGCAAGATCGAAAAGTAAATGAATATCAGAATTCAAATCATCAAAAATTATTAAAATTTAAAACCGTAGAAAACAAAATCAATTCTTCACAAAATTATATCTTTAAAGTAGGGAGAATGATAAAGAAGAGTAATTAGAACTCGTGAGAAGGATATGACAAAACACGGGTTTCATGTATAAAAACAAGTTTATAAAACAAAAGAAATAAAAATACAACTTATCTCACAATCCTTCCCAAGAAAATCCCTAGAAGTTCTCTCCAAGCCTTTCTCTCATTACAATCACTCCCAATTCTCTCTTAGAAGTGTAATGAAGAAGAAATCTCTCACCTTTCCTCTCCTCTTATAACCCTAGAAGAAAATCTCATCTTCTCTCTTTATCTCCAACTCATGCCAACTTTCTCTCTCCCTCACGCCACACACTTCACAAATATAAAGTCTTCTTCTTTTTTCTGGGCCGTCTCCATTGGAAAAGAATTCAAAATTCCCTCCCAAATTCCCTTCAAAAGTCAACTCTTGCATTCAAAATATGTGTCATTTGTTCCAAGAGTCATATCCTTTCATAAAAGAACCTTCAAAATTGTCTAGATGCATTGAATTACTACAAGAGGTGTGTAGAACAACTGTCCTTTTGAAATTTGCGCAAAAATTCATCTCGAGCTGCCTTAATTTAAAAAAGTCATCCTTGGCGCATGAGCAGCGTATCATGCGTCAATTCTCTGGATTTTGGCGCATCATGCGCCGATCTGGTGTATCATGCGTCAGAATCCCAAAATTTGTTGTTTTGCTTCCAAATTTCATCTTCTTCTGATATTTTTGCTCCAAATGTCTAAAAATGATATACATGCAATAATAATACAAAATACCCTTCTTTAAAGTGCAATATTACCAAAAATAAGCATAAAATATGTACTTAAAACAATATATTATTTTGGTGTATCAAAATCCCCAAAACTTAAATGTTACTTGTCCTTAAGTGACACTTTTATTACAT